TTGTTTTTATGACACATAGAAAAAGAACAAATCTTGTCTTTTGCTAGAACAAGGATATTTTTGTTTTTGTTTTTGAGATGGAGTCTCACTCTGTTGCCCAGGCTGGAGTGCAGTGGCGGGATCTCAGCTCACTGCAACCTCCGCCTCCCAGGTTTAAGTGATTCTCCTGCCTCAGCCTCCCGTAGTAGCTAGAACTACAGATATGTGCCACCATGCTGGGCTAATATTTGTATTTTTTTTTCAGTAGAGATGGGGTTTTACCATGTTGGCCAGGCTGGTCTCGAACTCCTGACCTCAGGTGATTTCCCCGACTCGGCCTCCCAAAGTGCTGGGATTACAGGCGTGAGCCACCATGCCTAGGGTAGAGCAAGGATTCTGAAGCTAGGGTCTATAAGTCTCAGCCCAAAGTATATACAGCATTGTGTGAACATGTGTAGCTTTCTGGGGGAGAGTGCATAGGTTTCTCTAGAATCTTAAAAGGTTCTTCATTCAAAAAGGAGCTATATTGGATCCCACAGGGGAACACAAAATAAAAAATTTAAAAAATGATAACAACAACAACAACAAAAAGCTGGAGGTACTGCAATGAGGCTAATTGTATTCGAATTTGAGTTTTAAAAAAGATCCAGCTAACGAAGTTTAAAAAGAAAAGTTCAGAGAAACACTGCTATTTCAGTCTTCTTTCCTCTAAAACTGGAAACTTGTCAATAGCTGTTCAATGAATAAAAGACCCTTGAGAGGAATTCCTAATGAGGTGGAAGTACCTGACCTGGTTTTCTTTTATCTCTCCCTGTTTGGCCTTTTGCCTACCTCCTGTGTCTACTCCCTTGTGGGTTTTTTCTTATCCTTCTTGACTTTTGAATATTAGCATAATATTTTACATGTTAGCATAATCCAGGACTCTACTTTCTGGGTAAGATTCTAATTTCTCTGAATGAAATGATATACTTCAAACAATGGCCTCGGTTATCATCCAAATTTGTATGATCAATCACCACCCCTTCCTTGATATGCAATTTCCTATTTCTACCTGCCTAGTGGACTTTCCACCTTTTCCCCACAGGCAATTTAACATACTTTAGAATGACTTTATCATCTGTCTGATGGCTCCAGTGTGAATGTGCACACTTACATACACACACACAGACACACAGACACACACACACACACACATACACACAGAGAAATACACCCCTTGAATGTTCTCCATTGTTTTCTTTTTACTTGGTTCTACTCCATCATCAAGACTTTGCTTGCACATAAACTATGTTTAGGCACTTGCCAGGAAGTAGTCACAGAATTTGCAAACTCTTGAGGAACTTAAGAAATCAAGTTGCTCAACCCCTTCAATTTACAGAGACTGGGGGTAACCTGCTTAATATCACACATCACACAGTGAATTAATGACAGAACTAGCTTAGAATCTAGGCATCTCAAGTTCTACCCAGTACCCTTTCCACTGTGCAATCGTGTTCCCACTAACTGTATGCTTACAAAGAAGAATGATATGCCTGCTAGCAGCACTGATTTTTATCAATAAAGAAGCAAGATAATCTAGCCACCTTATGTTCAAAATATCTACTACTTATGCACTGTTTGTACAACGGGTAATTTATGTTCTGCTGTAATGATGAAAAGGATAAACTGAAGAGTGCAACAAGACATCATTGTAGAGTAAGGCTTGGAATGAAAATAGGTTAGTTAAAGGCTAGCTCAGTGCTTGCTTTCATAACAGGGCTGTGAGAGGATTTTTACTTTTTCCTTACCTAAGTGTTTTCATATGTATTATTTCATCTTAGTCTTTCAACAGGCCTGGGAAGTAAGAAAGTCAGGGCTTATTAACTAAAGTTTGCAGCGGAAGAACATGAGACTGAAAAGAGTTAGCTCAGTGATTTGCCCAAGGTCACCCATCTAGTTAGTGACAAGGCCAGGGCTCAGATGTGTGTCTATGGCTTCCAAACATCTTTCCTCTAGTCTAGACACATAATTCTAACAGTCCTTGAGTGATGACTATAAATCCTGTGAACTGAACTTTACAGATATGCTGGGACTGAAACACGCTGGGTACTACCAAGTGACAATCATAGAAATATTATCCCAAAAACAAAAAAAAAATAGTTTCAAGGTAGGGACAGGGCAAATGAATTATATAACATAGGTTAACACAAGTAAGAGTCAATAAGTTGAGTTGCCATTTTATCAAATTTTCTGCTTTCAATAAGGAAAACGCAAAACAATAAACATGATCAAGATGGTCTTTGTAGGTATAAGAGTCTAAAAGACAGAGGATGGTTTCCAATGTGAATCTCTAAGGACTTTTAAAAGGCAGGCTATAAACACCTAAATTACCATTTTATTAAAGAAAAGTCAGGGCAGCATCATATATGCAGACAGTCCAGTGGGGCTGAGAAAAAAAGGATTGATGGAGGGGGTGACTGTGGGAGACATTTCAGTGGCCTGCTGTAGCACACCGCAGGCTGCAGTGTGTTGAAGAGGCAGTGACAGGTGAGGATATAGAAGTGGAGAGTGGAAACCTTGACCGCAGAAAACTGGCTGTGAAGGAAGGGGGCCGCAGTGTGTTTGTTGGCCATGAAGAAGCTGCACAAGAACAGGAGAAGAGACTGAACAGGCCAGACAGAGTCGGAACATCCTGTTGAGTCACTACTGAGTTGTCAACACTTTCCCTGCTAGTGCGAGGCCCTTTAAAAATTCACTGCCCGCATGTGGCTCCAGAGAAAACACCTCAAAGAGAGAAGATAACCTGTCCAAGTGAAGGCAGAGAAATCGGCACAAGGTTCAGTAACAAATTCGCTTTTCGGGACTACTATTGTGGCTGTTTGTTCGGTCTGTTATAAAAGCCCAGCTCAGGAACTACAAGGTCAAGCTTGAACAGATGAGCAGAGAAGTTCTGGACCAAGTCTAAAAGCTGATTATTCCCAAAGGCACAATATTATTAATTGGCCAGCTTATCAATGGATGCTCTTTCCTGTAGGTTTGTTTAGAGACAATACTGCTAGTCATAAAGTTTGCTGATTGCTGGCTTGCTCATCTCAGTGGGGCAAGTGCAAGGCCGTGCCAGGAACTCCAGATGACTGGAACATACACAAGCACAGTGCTACCCATAGACGCCAACACTGAGCCAGGGTGCGGGGGAGCCCGAGCAGGGGGCATCCTCAAAGTGCTTCTTTATTTAAACTATGCTCCGGGGCAATGTTTCATAATGACCCCACACACCTAGAGCGTACACACAGAGCAGCCTGCACACACAGCCTCACTGTGTTCCCTGGCCTGCTTGCTTTGCTTTCCACCCCTCTAGGCAAGGTCCACAAATTAGAAACCTTTTAACCCTCCCAGGTCTCCGTTCTCGGGACCTTCAGAAGAAAAACGCAGTCAGAGAAACATGAACACGCTAATCAGGAAGCCAGCGTTTCAGCCCACTCAGCCACGCGGGCCGTCCACACTAACGACTTTCACCTCCACTCGCCTGGGCTGGCTGGAGGGGCGGAGAACCCGGCAGTAAAGAGGAGGACCAAAGAGGGGCCCAGCTTGAATGAAACAATGTAACAATTGATGTGAGGCCTCGCCTTGCTCTCACTCCCCAGCGATCCTATAGGCGAGGTCCCAGTGACTGCCCCTCCCCATTGCTCCGTTTTCTTGTCCGTTACGCGCTATCCCTCCGCCTCTCCTTCTTTCTTTTCTTTCTTTTTTCCCTTCTCCATTCCCCCCCTCCCCCTTTCTCCAGCTCCGTGTCATTTCCTCCTTGCGCTCGCTCGCTGCCGGAGCGTCTCCAGCCGGGAGAGTAGGCGGAGCGGAGCGGTGCGGGGTGGCGTAGAGCTGGAGGGCGATGGTGGCGGAGCTGCTGGGGGCGGAGGCAACGTAGCCCCCCTCAGAAAAGGAGCCCGGCGGTGCCTGAGCCCAGCCGAGGATGGAGAACCGGCCTGGGTCCTTCCAGTACGTCCCTGTGCAGCTGCAAGGGGGGGCACCCTGGGGCTTCACCCTTAAGGGGGGTCTGGAACACTGCGAGCCGCTCACAGTGTCTAAGGTAAGAACTGGCGGCTCGAAGTCCTAACGGCGCCCAACTTTGAATGAACCAGCGAGTGCGAAGGCTGCTGCTGGACGGGGCCCTCAGGCCAACTTTGAAACTTAGTTAGGGCTGGGGGCAAAAGCCCCTCTGAGCGGCACGGAGGGGTCCTGCCACCAGTCCGGGCGCAGACATCCCCTAAGGGTGGCTGGAACACGAGCTGGGACCACGACTGACCCCTGGCTAGAGCCTTGCGCTCAGACACACTCACCAGGACGCTGGGGGCGGCCCTTGCTCCCCCACGTCGGGGCGGTTACTCCCCTCAGTTTGGGCTGGAGGAAGTGGCGGCCGTTGGGGATTTCTCCTTGGAGGCCCCTGCATCCCTACGGGACAGTGAGGGACTGAAGGGACAGTCATCGCGGCTTGGCAGTCCTTTTGGCAACGTTGGCACTCCATCAACCGGCGGGCCGTCCCTCTCAGGCAGGTTGCAGGGCTAGTGGCCGGTGTGGGAACGGAGATGAGGCATTGGTGCTTTTTGCCAGCCTCACTTCCCACGGCCGGACGCGCACACATCCATTCAGCTCTCAGGGAGTCGTCGCCGCCGGTTCGGCTTGGCCTCCCCCTCCCTTCAGAGTCCAGCCCCAGCGCCGGCGAGATTTCCTGCACTTTGAGAAGTGTGGAGGAAACTTTTGCGCCATGGAGCGCAGCTGTGCTGGAGCTGCCGCCGCCGCCGCAGCCGCCGCCGCCGCTGCTGCCGCCGCCGCCGCCAGGGTTTGTTTGTTTTAGGAGGCTGTGATCTGCTGGAAGCCAAGTTGCAGCTGAGGACAGGAGAGAGGCGCTCTCCTGAGTGCTCCAGAACCCCAAAGCGAGCCTCCCCTGTAGGGGTGAGGGTGAGGGGTAGGGGTAGGGGCAGCTGGAGCTGTTACCAGGAAGAGTGACTTGTGGGACGACTCACCTTGAGGTGCCAGACTGCCAAGTGAACGGACTTCACGAACTTTATTCCATTTTTTTGTTGTTGTTTCTCTTAAATCCTCAAATCCAAAAAGCCCTCCCCCTTCCAACCCGCTTAAATGGCAGTTGAAGTTGTAGATGTGGTTTCAGGCTGCAGATAGAACCATGCGTCTTTTCAGCAGGGAACAAATGCCACTATTTTTTGTGGAGGTTTTCAACTTTGATCACATCTCAGCAGAGGGTTCAGTAAATGTCCCCCGCAACACACACCCACAATAACCTGTGCGGCATTCTCCTTGCATTGGAGTTGCTGGTTAACTTGCAGTGTAGAGGATCCGTCAGGCCTTGGGGCCCACACCCAGCAACCCTGGAGGGTTGCCATGGGGTGTACCAATCAAATTGAGTAGTCTGAGGTATGCTGAGACAACATTTGGGGGGCTGGCAGGGACCCCTCTGATCGTTAGCCTCCCCAAACTAGTCCAGATCTTCATCCAGCACCCTTTCTCCCTCCCATACTTGTCATGTATTTTAACTAGCCTGAGATGCCTTTGTCATCTGCCGGCACAACCCCTCCCGAGGCTATCTCCCTCCAGGGTTCTCTGGAGAAAGTCATTTTTTTTTTTTTTTTTTTTTGGTAACAAAAACACCCAAATCCTTTTGTGAAGGGAATCCTGGCCTTCAGGAATTTCTTCTAATCAAGCTCCACCTCTCCCCCCTCTTTCCACCAAGGTCACAATGGGATATGCAGCCCTCCATGGTCTGGCAGTTCCTCCCTTTCTTTTTCTCCTCACACCGCCCACAGAATTTCCAGTCTGCCTAGACAACCTGCCTTGGAGGGGTCATTTTTCAGCCCTACCCAGAGCTGACCCATCTTGAGCAGCACCCCAGAGAGTGCTCGCTGCTGTGGTCCTGGATCATTTTGTGAGCCAGTGTGAGCCAGTGAGAGCATGGCAGGGGGTGTTACTAAGTATGGGGCAGCCAGCAATTTGTGGTCTGGCTGGGAGATTATTTGAGGGTAGATGAGGGTTTCCTTGGCCAAGCTGTAGAGGAAGTGCTTCATGTATTGAGAGGCAGGGTGCCTTTTAATGATTCCCTTTCCACTGAATGTACAGTTGACCCCTATTATATGAAGGCTCATTATGACATGCATTTAGATATGCAGGAGGTAAAAGTATTTCTCCCATTCCTCTCAAATAGTCCAGTCCTTTACAGTAAAAGTCAGTTATAACTGGGTTGGCCTTAACAGTATATAAAGGGACCATAGTATTTTTTTAAGCACAAAGGTTGCCTGTATTGTGTTTTCCTTGACAAGACACTATTTTGGCATATTTCATTAATTCCCTCTTCATTTTTCTACCTTAATTTTATTTCCTTTTATGATTCAGAACAATACACCTTTCTTCTTGAAAACAGCCTTGCTAGTCTGTACACACTGATTGGTTTGGATGGAAGGAAAGATAATTGGGTTGGTAGATTAAAAACTTGGGTTCTAATCTCTGCGCTGCCACTCTCTAGTTCTGGAATCCTAGGTATATCACTTGCCCTTCCTGGGTCTAGGCATCCCTGTGTCTAAAATGACATTCAAGTGGGTGGTCTTTAATGATACCATGACCATCTAGTAGCCAGAATTTTTGTTTGCTTTTGAGATGGGGTCTCACTCTGTTGCTCAGGCCGGAGTACAGTGGTGCCAGCTTGGCTCACTGAAGCCTGCACCTCCCAGGCTCAAACCATCCTCCCACCTCAGCCTCCTGAGTAGCTGGTACTACAGGCACACGCCACCACACCTGGCCAATTTTTTGTATTTTTGGTAGAGATGGGGTTTCACCATGTTGCCCAGGCTGGTCTCAACTCCTAAATTCAAGCAATCTGCCTGCCGCAGCCTCCCAAAGTGCTGGGATTACAGGCCTGAGCCACCGTGCATGGTCAAATAGCCAATCTCTTATGCTAGCTCTGGCCCTCTTCTCAGAAGTGTTGCTGCAGAGTGAGGAAAGTGAAGCTTTGCTTCATTTGCATACAGTGTTACTGTTTACAATGTACTTCCTTATCCTTTATTTCATTACTTTCTTGCAGCCACACTGTGAGGCAGTCAGGAAAGATTGTGGAGACACTGCTGGAAAAATGAAACTGATGTATTCAGTGGCTTGCCTATGACTATCATATAGAGAGTCAATGGCAGTCCATTGTATTTTCTACTAAGAGAGTTTCCCATTCTTCTGCTAGTACTGTGGTCTGTGAAGGAGCACAGGGCAATAACTTTCAGAGATGTATCTAGTCTTATTCACCTCCTACTGCAGTGTCCCTTTCCATGCCAGCCTGTAGTTCCACACTAGGTGAGGACTGGGTTGTAGGTACACTCTGATGGAGTCCGGACTCAGAGAGTAGAAGAGGACTATTTCAGTAACTCCAAATCACTTACGACAATCTCAGGTCAGAGAGAGCCAGAGGTAAGGTGCAGGAACCATGGTGGAAAATGGCAGAGAATCTGCTTTGCGGAAAAAAACAGAAGCCGTTTGCGTCAGGGATGGTGTGGCATACATGCTCACAGATATCTTGTAGTACAAGTGGAGATTTCTGGGGAGTAGCGGAATTTGAAAAAATAGTGATTAGTGGGAGAAGAGGACATGCAGTCTGAAAGTCTAGCTCATAGTTGTCATGGGAGACCCTTTGGACCAGGAAATGATCAAGTTGGGGAAACCATCAATTCCTGCTGGTTCCTCTGATTTCCCTGAATATGCGGGATTCAACGGCCTGATTTATGGACACTTGTATAGTCTGCCCTTGGCAATCAAGTGGCAAAGAAAGAGAAAATTTTTTAATACTATTGCTGGATGTGGTGTCTTGCACCTGTAGTCCCAGCTACTCAGGAGGCTTAGGTAGGAGGAATCCCTAGAACCCAGGAAATCAAGGCTGTAGTGCACCATTATTGGGCTACATAGTGTGACCCCCATCTCTAAAAAATAAAATACTATTGATTATCCTAAATAATAAGGGGTAGTTTATGATGTTTCCCTATATCGTCATGTTTCAAGTGAGATCTTGGTAACAAGTAAAAAAAAAACCATGACCCACAAAGGAATAGGGCCCGTGACATTGGCATATTGATTCCTTTGGTTAACATGTTATACTACCTCACTGACTCAGTAGTACTGTCTGGATGGAATGGGGATTCTCTTCTAATCAGATGTGTCTGATGATATGTAGGCTCATGCGACGTATTTTCCCTTTTCCTGGCTCATTTTTGGTAGATGTTTCTATCAGGCATAGTGAAGCAAGTGGGGCTAGTTATTGCCCCGGAACAAAACGGGATGGGGTAGAGGAGTAGCCTGGAGGAGAAAGAAGCTTTACCCCCCTCCACTTGATGTGCTCTGATATTGCTATATAATTTTAGCCTCTCTAGACCCAAGTCTCTATTTGCACAATGGGGGATAGGCATACCTGCCCTATCTCTTATCACAGATTATATGAAAATGAATTGGGCAAACTCTAATGCTGTTTGCCATCCTTAGCCTAGGACGGTGGCAGGGCATGCTCATTAAGTTGTTTTAGTCTGTATTCCATTCCTAGTCTGACCTTATTTCTAGAAGCACACAGAGAGGCAGTTGACACCTCAAGAGGATCTGGGTAAAGTCAGACTGAGGGTGTCTTGTGGCTGGAAGTAAATTTGGCTGTGATTTTGAATTCTTATTGGGTGCAGAGGTGGTATTATATGAGCTATGAGAGCTCCTGTGAAATCTTTTGAGCTGTGTTACAGACCAGTGCCTGGAACTCACAAAGGGACCTTCATCTGGTGTGCGTCTTAGGAGCTTAGTCCAGCCTGATTACCTACATGAATCCCCTCCTCATTTCTGCCTCTAGAATCACCAAAGATGTCCACTACCTCAGTTTTCCAGCTGCCCTGTCCCAGAAAGCAGAGTGCATTTTGAGGCATGGATTAGAAATCCATAAGAGAGATACAAAGAAGGTTGGAGGGAGGTAGATCAAGAAGCGTAGGTGGTATGGCTGGTAACCCTTGGCTGAGCTTTGAGTCCATACTACTTTTGGCCCTGCTGCGTTTTCATAATACACCTGGT